CAAGTGTTGCTGCCGCACCAGGATGGCTTTTCGGGATAGGTGGGGAGAGCTACGGAAGGCTGGGTGGACGTCAAAGAAACCCACAGGTCTCTCAGACGATTACACGTATCTTCAGCCCGGGAAAACGACCAAGGGTGTGCGCGGTGAAGATTACTTCGTTGGAGCAAACGAGCTGATGCTTTACCTTGACAAGGTCGACCTAGGTAAGGCATGGTCTGCTCAAATTTGTCTGGTGGACTGTCTAACACTGGTATTCCGTTGGAGAAGCTTAGGACGCAGAAGTTAGGCTCCGATAAGGTCATGCTGAGGAATAAGAAGCTTGTACCAAGGCCAAAAGCGGCAGCTAAGGCCATCGTAAGACCCAAGCTGCTGCGAAAGCTACTCGAAGGGAAATCAACCCGTCAACTCGAAAGAAACCTGTGGCAGTGGCAAAGACGATACAGCGGCAGAAGAACAGCGGCGACGAAGGTAAATAGTAAGTTATATGTACAGTATACTGTGAAATTTAATCGTGTATATCCATTGCAGCTCTTGCTGTGCCGGTATCAGTTCCTCATACGCCAGTATCACCGTCGACAAGAGTCATATCCGATGTTCCCCTTGTGACTCGCAAACAGTGATGCATACAGCTCACCTGAGTGTGCATAATGTATGTATGCGGGATGATACATGCTTGAAGCTACATCTAACTTGTATGTTGGTGTTTAATGTGTAGCTACTTCACCAGTGACATCACGCAACCTTGACTCATACTTTGTGCAGGTGGACGTCAGTGACTCATTAATTGACTCAATCCATGATGAAGATCCACTCGATGATTGCAATAGCACACTGAGAGCACCAACCGAAGAGGAGGCAAAGGAAATACCTGTTGGTGCCAATAACGGAAGTATACACAACATACACATGTTACGATGCTCCACTAACTTATATTTGTTTGAAGCACGCAAATTTCAAACGGAAGACGCGTGAGACCATTCGTAAAGAACTACTTAGAATTTCGTCGGTTACGCCTCGTGAGTTGTGTGTTCTTGTGGGATTGTTGCTGGCGAGATCTATCGCCCCCAACAAAGAGAATTTGACGACCACTGGCGAACGACTGATCAAGGTGGGATCCTACGCGGCTGCTTCGGTCAGTTCATGAACCGTGACCGTTTCATGCACATGCCATGCAACTTACACTTCAGTTCTAACGAGGACGCACGAGCGACCACAGATTGAGCCTGGAAATTACGACCCGTGATTGATGCACTTCAGAATCGTTTCGCTGCTGGCTTTACTCCCCCGGCCGTCATGGCCTTCGACGAGGCCATGCTTTCCTCTTGGTCGACGTTCAACAGAATGAGGGTCTAAATGAAAGACAAACCCCATAAATGGGCCACAAAGTTGTTCATGTTGTGCTGCTCCACAACCGCCTACTGCATTCGGTGAGTTCGGCATGTGTCTTCGGACACACCTGCGTTTTTATCTGTTCTAAAGTTTTCTTATCATGTATCATACATACTAACTATATTGCATGTTGTATCTTACAGATTTGAAGTGTACTGCGGTAAAAAAGAGCGTGCTGGTAGCACCAGCTCCACGGACTATAAGTCCGGCATAGCAGCAGTCGTTCGCAATATCAATGAAGTATTTGGTCCGACGGCACCGGAAAACGGCGACATGCGACTCGTAGTGACCGACAGATTCTACACAGCGGTGCCACTTTACATGCAATTGATCACTATGAGATTTTACTCAATAGGGACTGTCCGTACCGATAGAAAAGGGTTGAGTGCACAGTTGATCCCTAAGAAGAAGAAATGTGAAGCGAAGAAAACCCTACAAGTAACAAGAAATCGCCCTGCAAATATTATACGTGGAACGTTCGTCGTCACAAAAGCCTCTCATGTTCCTGACATGCGTCTGGTGCGCTGGTGGGACACTCGTGCTGTCTATATGCTGAGTACCGGTGGCAGCGTGGAGATGAATTGTATTGTGCACCGCGATAAGCTCACTGGAGACCAGCAAGAGGTAGCGTGCACACGGATAGTGAAAGACGATCAAACATACATGGGAGGAGTGGACGTCCACGCTTACAACGGTAAGTACTTAAATCACGTATTGTACAAGATAGGGGGACTTCTAAACACTTATGCTACATGTTGTAGGTGATCGCTGCAACTGTGTATGAAGTACGGGAAATTTTACAAGTCACTATCTCTAGGTCTTGTTGACCTCGATGTGATCAGCGCCTACATAATTTACAACGCTGGGCGTTGTTTGGGGGGGTGGTTGCGGCAACCCCCCCCCAAGATTAGCCACATCAAGTTTGTGAAGCAGTTGCATCTTGAGCTGTGTCAACTGCGTGAGATTGACTGGAAGAACTTGAATATCAATGAGAGCTTTCAAGCGACACCCTCGAAACAAGTTCGGCGCCGACAATCCACCCACCAACCCTTGCCGAACGACGAATTGCGGCCAGGAAACAATCAATCAGGAAGAAAACGGAGAACAAGGGCGTGTAAGGTTTGTTCGATTCTCAAGGGGACTGACAATGCCCGTAGTTGTGACTCTCCTACTTACTGCAGTGCATGCAAGCTACCGACCACATCGAAGAGGCCCCTCGCGTGGCGTGTCTTTTCGTGTGAAAAAATACGACACACCCATAACGGCGCCGCAATGTCTTGTTTTGACATTTGGTACAAGGCCTGACGCAACGGAAGCATGCTACCTACGAAGGCCAGTAAGAAGCGCCAGATCCGCGCGCGATGGCCTGGAGCACGAATGGAGGCCGACACTAACGCAGAGAGCGAGGTCGATGGCGCAGATAACGAGGAGCACACCGAGAACGTGTGATCTAGTGATGAGTGTACAGATGCTGCTCGAAAGCGGGCCCGTCTGGCAACCGAAACTGAGGTTGCTGACTAATAATGTGCTTGCGCCCGTAGGTTTGTTCTTATTTTAGCTATGGGCTTTTGGTGCGTCATGGATTTTTTTACATCTGATTTTTTGCATTCATTATGTACTTCTGTTTCTAAAATTTTTTCAGTCTCCACACGTTTTTTTTTACACTCCCGCCCCGGTTTTACTGACAATCATACAGCTGTGTAGTAATAACATGTATTTTTGCAACTCTTGTACTAAGGAAATAGTGGAGGTCCAA